CTAAAAATAGCATAAGCTAGGTACAAGTAGCAAAAGGCTAGCTAAATTGAGAAAACTTAATTGAATGCTAAAAGTAGCAAAAGCTAGGTACAAGTAGCAAAAGGCTAGCTAATCAAATATGAAAAGACTAACTGAAAGCTAAATGTAGCAGACATTTTGTAAAAGTAGCAAAAGACAAGCTAAAGTATAAATAGCAAAAGGTTAAAAGCTAAATCTAGCAAAAGCTAGGTACAAGTAGCAAAAAGCTAGCTAAATTAAATGTATGAAAAATCTAACTGTAAGCTAAATGTAGCCGAACCTAGGTAAAAATAGCAAAGACTAGCTAAAATAAAAGTAGCAAAGACTAAAAGCTAAATGTAGCAGAAGCTAAGTACAAGTTTTAAAAGGCTAAATACTAAACAGAGGAGCATTTTGTGGGCACTGCCTGAGCTCTTCCTCCCTGTGGGTATTTGCAGAGACAAGTCTTCAGCCAAGCCTCCTCCTGATCCCAGGCTGCCTCCTCCCAGCTGCCTGCTCCTGCCTCCCACTCCAAAGAGAGGAGGGCGGAAAGCTCCCGTCAGCAGCCGCACCAACATGCACATCCTGGTGGACGCTGGCCTCAAGGTGCACATTCTGTGTTTTCTTTGTACATGGTGTGAAGGTGCAGTTTGAGGCAGAAAGCCTGTAGCTGTTCTCTCTTCTTCAGCTGCTCCACCTCAGTCTGAAGAAATCTAAAGTGAATTCTTCAGAACCATCTGCTCTGGAGATGCTGGATCCTTTTGTTCTGCTGCTGCTCCAATGCCTCGACTCCATGCACGTCAAGGTACGAGAGTTCAAACGGGTGTGAAGTGGTTTATGAAGCATTCACACCGATCTGTTTTTCAGCTTCTTTCTCATCCCCCAGTTTTCAAGCCATTTCAACAACTCATAAATCAAAACATTTAGCTTGGCGCAACTTTAGCTAGTTGACATATTTTTGCCACTTTTTTCCTCATAGAAAATGAATTGAGCTCATTTTTTATCCTTCACATCTTTAAATGTGTTTACAACCTTTTACAGCTCCTTTCATTCTGCTTCTTCAGTTTTGTGTTACTTTCAGATTCTTTTTGCCAATTACAACATTTTGTGGTTTTTATAACTTCTTTCTGCTCCTATCAGCTTTTTCTACTATTTAGCTATTTTTGTGCTAATTTAAGCTTTTTCAGCTAATTCCACATTTTGCACTCCTTTCTGCCTAATTCAGCGCAGTAGGTGTGCTCTTTCCACTTCCTCGTAATTTCAGCTTCTGCCTTTTAAGCTGTTTTTTTTTTTTTTTCAAATAATTTCCAATTTTTTGTGCTAATTTCTGCGTCTTTCAGCCTAATTGCGCAAACACATGTTCTTCCTGCTTTCTTCTGCTAATTTAAGCTGTTTTCCAATAAATACAAGTTTTTCACGGTAATTTTTGCTACTTTAAGTCAACTTAACTTCTGCTAATTTTAGCTTATGCTCTTTTCAGATTTTTTTCTGCTACTACAGCTACTATTTAGCTGTTTAAGCTTAATCTACATTTTTTAGCTCATTTAGGCTCTTTCCACTTACTGCTGGTAGTTTAAGCTTCTTTCTGCCTTTTCACCTACTTTTCAGCTTTTTTTTTTTTGGCTAATTTCTGCTTATTTAAACCTAATTCAGCAAAAAAAGTGTTGTTTTTTTTGTGCTTTCTTCTGCTAATGAAGGCTTGTTCTTCCATTTCAGCTCGTTCTTCTGCAATAAGTGTTCACACTGCCGTTTCTCTAGTTCTGCCTCTTTATTTCCCAAATCAATCAGCTCCATCTCTTCCCTCCCAGGTGATCACGGAGGCGCTGGTGGTGATCACCTGGCTGTTGAAGTTCCCTCTGCCCTCGGTGGAGCAGAACGCCGGCCAGCTGACCAAGCAGCTCTTTGTCCTGCTGAAGGATTACTCGAAGGCTGGAGCTGGCCGCGGCGAGAACTACCACCTGGTCCAGAACTGCTTCAAGGTGCTCAACTTGAGAAATAAAACCCTTAAACCAGTTCACGTCTTTTAAGAAGCTTTACTAAATAAAAACAAAAAACGTCTTTCAGGCCATGACTGTTCTGGTGAAGAAAATCAGAAGCAACCAGATCTCTGAGACCCAGCTGCAAGTGCTGCTGGGATACGCAGAGGAGGACATTTACGACCAGTCGCGCCAGGCCACCGCCTTCGGCTTGCTTAAGGTAACGGAGGCTAAAATAGCGTCTCTGCTTCCAAATCTGCGCATTTACAGTTTGTGTGTGTGCGGAAAATCTCCAGGCGATCCTGTCCAGGAAGCTCGTCGTCCCAGAGATGGAGGAGGTGATGAACAAAGTGGCCAAGTTGACCGTTACCGGGGGCAACACCATGATCAGAGTTCACTGTCAACAGGTACGGACACGCCGGCGTCCGTCCCCTCTCCTGAAGCAGCTTCGGCTCAGACGAGTTGTTTTTTCTGCAGATCTACCTGAAGTACCTGCTGGACTACCCGCTGGGGAAGAAGCTGAAGAAGCACGTCGACTTTGTGGTGGCGCAGCTGCAGTACGAGCTCGACACCGGCAGGGAGTCTGCGCTGGAGATGCTGGCGTCCATCTTCCAGACGTTCCCTCAGGTGTGGAACGTCAACACTTTTCATACGTCTATCTGCTGCTTTTTAATGACCTGAGTTTTTGTTCTCCGTCCAGCAACTGCTGTTTACGTACAGCAGTCTGTTCTTTGCCCCGCTGGCCTTCGTCGTGGTTAGCGACGACTCGGCGCGCTGCAAAAAAATGGCTGCCATGGCCATCAAGACGCTGCTCGCCAAGCTGGACTTGAACCACCAGAACATCTTGTTCTCTTTCGTAACCGCGTGGCTGAACGCAGAGAAGGTACGCAGAAGCTGAAACCTCATTTATACACTTTCCAGAGGGGCTTGTGGGTTACAGATCTATGTTTTCTGCCCCCCCAGGCCAGCCTGCGGCGCCTTGGAGCTCAGATCTGCGGCCTGTTCGTGGAGGTGGAGGAGGAAAAGTTTGCCCGTCGAATAGACGCCCTGCTGCCGCTGTTGGAGAAAGAGATCCACCCCGACAATTACGAAGACGTGAGTCAAGAACATTCAAAGTGTGAAACAGAGCTGAGTCTACGCTCCTCCTCTCACCTGCAAACTAGTCGCTTTTCAGCAAAATTCAGTTTTCCAAGTAAAATATGTCGTCTAGATGTGTGAGAAACAAAGCGTGTAGCATCTGTATTGTGCAAGTTGAAAAGTCCAGCTGATGGTGTTCTAGAGAACACCTTGAAGGAGAAAGTAACACAAGTTTTCTGTAAAGTAAAATAGTTAAAATCAGTGATGGGGAGGAACAGTGGGAAGAAAAACAACGGGAGAAGAAGATGGACGTTATCCCAAGTGGACTGTGAAGGAAAGGGGACTAAAAGTTATGAAGTGTAGAAACTACGGTGGCGCCAAGGTAGGAAGGAACCTGTAAATGATTTTAATAATTACATGCAGGTTGACAAAACTGACTAAAATGTTTGTGTGTGCATTTAAAGTTGTGAAAGCTGCATGATGCCAGGTCATTTTCTGTTATGAGCAGATCTACCACTAAATCAGAAAACAGTAAAAAGTCCTCTAAATTGACAGTTCAAAGAGTCTGCTCCTCAGATACGAGCGTTAACGTATTACTTTTTATATATGAACGTTTCCGTTCATCGCCCTGAGACGACTTCTGTTGTGACTTGGAGCTATAGAAATAAATTGAACTGTTGGTGGACATTAAAATGTCACCTGTTCATTGGGTAAATTTAATATTCTTGTTTTTAACGTGCAGTTCAGGGTCACCATTGCTTAGCACAACAGCGTGTTGTTACAAATGAAACTAAACTAGATAAGTCAAGTGCACCCCTAAAGTCACTGTGATAAATTGTGTGTCATTATTATCTTAGCCTGAGTTTAAAAACAGGATGATGCATGCTCAATAATTTCAACTATTTTTTTTTTAAATCTGTCCAGATGATCTGACTCAGTTTTGTTAATGTCTCCAAAATAGTTATTGAATCACGTAGGTAAACTTAGATGTTAACATACACCAGAATGCAGGAAATGACATCTACTTTATTCAGAATTTTCTGGGGGAGGACCCCCAGACCCTCCCACCAGTGTCCCCCCCACGTTACAAGTGTTTCATGAAAGAAGCGCATGTCCTCATTAAATTAAGATGTTATAGTAAATGCCTTTTTTTACCTGAAGCATGTTGTCTTCTCCCCGACTTTTCTTCTTGGTGTGTAATTTACATGTTGAACAATTACTACAAAACCTTTCGGGCGGGGCAGGCGTTAGGTTTGTCACCTTTTTCATCTGTTCAGAGTTTGCAGGTATGCCCCTGGAGTTAAAGCGCTGTAAAGCTGAACGAGTGCATGAGACGACAAACGGTTTGTCTTTCAGATCGAAGAGGAGCAGGATGAGAAAGAAGCTGACAGGCTGCTCTTCGGTTATCTCACCCTCATCTCCAAACTCAGCCAGCACTGCCACCTGCTGGAGCTGTGCAAGCCCCGCGACACGCTCCTTAAAATCTGGGGTACACACACACTTTCTCTTTATTCTCCACATTCTCCACTGGCAGCTAAAAGCTTCTGTTTCAGGTCACATCGAAGTCCACCTGCGGCACCCTCACTGCTGGGTGTGGCTCAGCGCCTCGCAGCTGTTCGGCCAGCTGTTTGCAGCTCACCAGGCCGAACAGCTGGCCACCGTTTGGCGAGGAGAGGGAGGAGGTGCTTCGTCCCGACCGGCAGCCACAGATTTTATCACCAGCCGCCTGGATAAGAAGGTAAAGTACACGGTTTGTTTGAAGTGGTCTTGATGTTTCTGCACCTCATCCGTTCCTTTCCGGGCGTCCAGATGAGGGAGCTGGCCTTGAGCTTCTGCCACCAGCTGCAGTCCAAGTTCCTGGACACAACGTCAGGAGAGCAGGTCATCAAGAACCTTCTTTTTGTCGGGAAGGTGATTTACCTCCTATCCCCGGAGTCTGAAACCGCTTCTCAGGAAGAAGTGAAGGATGAGGAAGAGCACAGCGAGGACGAACGTGACGAAGAGAAAGAAAAGGAGGAAGAGGAGAAGGACAAAGACAAGCCTCCTTCATTTCTGTGGCTGATGAAGAAGCTGTCTCTGATGGCGAAGAGAGAAGCGGCGTACACTCCCAAAGTTCCCCTCAAGGTACGGAAAACAAAAATGGTACTTTTCTTTCTTTTTATCCATCGTTTCACATTTTCTCTGCTTTCTCCACAGCGAACGTGTGTGTTCAAGTTCTTGGGGGCGACGGCAGTGGATCTGGGGAGGGACCGGCTCGGCCCGTACCTCACCACCATGGTCACTCCGCTGTACAGAGAGCTGGACAGCACATACGCAGACCAAGGTTTATACTCTAATAACAGTTAAAATAACAAACGCTCATCATTCAGGTTTCAACTCGTTCCTCCCTTTGATCCAGATCCGACCCTGAAGAACCTGGCCCAGGAGCTCATCGAGCTGCTGAAGAGGCAGGTGGGTCTGGAGAGGTTCTCTCTGGCCTTCTCTGCAGTCCAGAAGGAGTTCTCTCAAAGACGAGCAGCACGCAAACGACACCGAGCCATGCAGGTACGAAACGCACCCAGTCAAAGTGATTAGGAAGCAGCTTTGATCTTCTATTGATGGTGATTTGTATTTGTCTTCTTTAAGGCGGTGGCTAACCCAGACGTCGCCGCCAAGAAGAAAATGAAGAAGCACAAGAATAAAATCGAAGCCAAAAAGAGAAAGATCGAGTTCCTCCGACCTGGATATAAAGCCAAGAAGCACCGGAGCCATGCTCTGAAGGACCTGGCCATGGTGCAGTGAGTCCTGCAGCTTCTTCTTCCAGCATCATTTATCGACCGAAAGGAACAAGATGCGACTCTTCACCCCGATAACTTAAGAGACTAATCTTTTTCTGCTGCGAACTGACTGCAGAAGTGTAAATTTAAAAAACATGATTCTCTAAAAACTGGGCTACAAAGACTTCTTCTGCCTTTTTACCGGTCACAGTAAAAAAAAAAAAAGGCGCAATTTCATTTTTCTAGCAAGTTTAGTAAAATAAAAAAATCCACCGTTAACATTCTGACAATCACCGATTGCATTTTTTACTGATTCATTCGTTTCTGTACAAGTAAATATAAATATGCAACCATAAAACTTAGAGCATGAAGGTTCAAGATGAGCTGAACTCGAAGACATCAACCCCATAAATTGAATAGAAAGAAAAAAACTAACCAAACAACCCGAGCTGCAGGAATACTGTGAATGCAGAAACGTTTCCAAAATGTCCCATTTGTGGCGTTGCACACATTTAGGTTCGGCTGTATAGTCGCCAACATAAAAGATAACCGCTCTGAGACGACCTGCAGTACAAAACGATTATTTATGTGACAGAAACTTTGCAACAGGATGAATAAAGCTTGTGGACGTGAAAGGATTTGTTTCCAAAACATTAGCTGAAGCTGTTACGGCAGCAGCATCGGCCAAGGCTTCAGGTTGATGTGAACAGAGGAGAGCAACCGCTGGTCCAAAACTAAGGACATGAAGAAGTCGGGTCAGTCACAAGGCTTCATACGGAGAGGGTCAAAGGTCAAGAGTATATACACTGAGCAGGTGTCTTTACTGCCGGCTCTTCAGAGAATCCACCAACCTGAGAGCAAACATTGTTTTTGTTAATAAAGATGCTTTAATAACTTTTACAAGCCTTATTTAAAAGATTTCATTAAGTGTTGGGTATATCTTACCACTCCATAGCCTCGTCTAGGCCCGTTCCCTTGGTGGCTGAGGTTTTAAAGATCTGCCATTTCCTGTCTTTGAGCGCAGGGAGACCCAGAGCGTTGGCCACTTCAGTCGGCGTCATTGCCTGCTCCATGTCCTGCTTGTTGGCGAACACCACGAGGATCGCCTTCTTCAGCTCTTCTTCCTGCAGCACAAAAAAATACTTTGAATATATATACTTCTTTCTTCTTTTTTTAAATACTTAATGCTGATGATTTAAACACAAACCTCCAACATGGCCACCAGCTCGGACTTTGAGATGCCCATCCTGTCACGGTCGCTGCTGTCGACAACGTAAATCACAGCGTCTGTGTTTGAATAATAACACCGCCAGTAGGGCCTGGGAAGAGGCAGAGATAAAACTTGCTCAAAACCAAGTGTGGAAGACCATCCATGAAGAAATGAGGCGGCAGCTTCAGAATCTTAAACGAGGAGACTTAAAACACGCAAACTTGAATTCTCAATTACAGTCCGTTTACTTTTCCACAGCCGAGAAGCTCTGCAGTGCGTTCACTGCGTTATTTAAACACACCTGATACTCGTCTGTCCTCCCAGGTCCCACACCTGAAACTTCAGGTTCTTGTAAGTGACCGTCTCAACATTGAAGCCAATAGCTGGGAGAAAAATAAAATTCATAAGTTCAGTGAAGGATTTACAACTAAATTATTTTCAAGAGTGCAGTACAGAAAACTAATAAGCTATATGGAACAATATAGTTTTTATTTAATCAGCAGAATGTTACGGTTACATAAGTCCTGCTGAAATATCACTGTAACCGATTATCTGAAACAAAACCTACTGTATCTCCTTGTTTTTAATATGCAAGTCGTTCAAATGAGCCGATTTGTGAGTCAACATAGATCTTAATATCAGCAGTGGCTCAGTGACCTTGCTGAAATATGATTAAACGTTAAAGTTCTGATTCTTTTCAGTGATATCTTCAGTAAGTCAGAAAGGAATGGCGATCAAATTATTGTCAAACCTGGAACAATATAGAACTTAACGATGCGACTTATAGTCCACAAGCTGTACGTCAACGGGTTCTGGTGCAACTGAGCCGTCCTTGAACTCGTCTTTAGAAGCTCAACTCGTTCAGTTTTACTACGTGTAAACAAAATCGAGCTGATTTAGTCTTAGAAATGTACATTATGTCTTCCTTCGAGCTTTATGTTCACAAGGCTCTCTTGGGAAATACAAATGTAATCTCAATAGCAGCAGTAATCTAATGGCTAAATATTTAAGGGATTAAAAGCAGTACATACTGGGAATTGTGGTGACCACCTCTCCAACCTGAAGCCTGTACAGAATGGTAGTTTTTCCAGCACCGTCCAAACCCAGGATCAAAATCCTCATCTCCCTGGTGCCAAACAGGCCAGAGAAAAGACTTGAGAAGAAGCCCCCTGAAGAGAACAGACAAGAAGAAGCAACTTTACTTTTCGTTGTTTCTAAATTAGACTTAACTTCCAACTTAAATTAGTTTGGTCTCTAAGCAACTAATAACACTCAGTAGTATAGGACTTGATTTTGTACTTTAATACAAGCTCAAAATTATGAAACAGCACTCAAAGAATGATCAAATATCAGGTAAAATTCACGAAATGTACTAGCTAGCAGCTGAGATTAGCCAGTGGCTAACAGGTTGTAGCTTAATGCTTTGCACCAAAAAAGGCAAATATGTTCGTGAGTCGACGGTGATATTAGTGCTAAGCACTACAGTAATGTTCTAAATACTAACATGTAAATGTTATGAAGTTGTAAGCTTTTAAAACACGAACATAAAAAAAAAAGCCTGGAGATTCACTTAGCTAGTGCGAACCAAGCTAACTCTAGCATCAAGACAGGAGCACGTCGCGTTAAAAAACAAATAAAACATGGATATATAGGAGCTTAATTCTTCCTAGGCACGTAATTTTCAAGTAAACCTATTAAAAAATGTATATGAGTGGATAAAACGCGAACAACTCACCCATTTCCTTGAGACCACGGACTTCTAACAACTGACAGGTTAGTTCCGTGTGGTTGACGTGTCGTTGGGCGACGTAATCAACTCTCGCTCAGATTTAAGTTCGCACATTCGTCAGAATAGCAACATCGTTATCTGTAATATATCATTACAGAAACTACTGTAAAACATATATACGCAATTGGTAATGAATATATACTATTTTAGATCTTAAAAGTGTACGTTGTGGTTTAAAATTATTTAAAAACTATGTTTTGTGAACGAAAGTGCGGCTAGTGAAAAAAGATTTACCTACAGACGCTCTGATAAGGCTGCATTCAAGAAGGACATTATTTGAGCGTTTCTAAACGTTGCAGCTATTCACTGTCAGAGGGATGCAACGAGAAATGTCGGGTTTCTTTTGAACGCAGCTTTAGTCGAAGGAGTTGCCCTTTCTCAACAGCATCAAATTTATGACCAGATATTAGGTTTTAAAGCTTAGTGTAAAAGCTGCAACACTTTATGTGAATTTAAAGCAAAATGTAGCCCTCGTGGGGGATAACGTCGATATGCGGGAGCTGCGTTGAGTTTTAATAATCAGCGGGTGGACTGTCGCGTGAGACGTCGTTCACCGTGAGGATGGTGGAGCGCTCGGACCGAGCCCCTTTGCTGGACTGGGAGGAGGTCCCGTCCGCGGAGAAAGCTCCGGGCAGCCTGTCGAGCCCCCCCGACAGCCGCGTCTCGTCGGGATGCTCGGGGTTTGGGTGGAGCAGCGGACCGGGGGGTCCCGCTCCGGGCTCAGACGGCTGCGGTGCCCCGCCCGCGACCTCCGGCGCCCCGGCGGCCGCGCACGAAGCGCAGCCTCCCGGCAGCGAGGAGCATCTCTTGGACTCAGGAGGCAGGGAGGCGCCGCTCGAGGGGCGGATGCTGAAGTGGGAGGAAAAGGACCAGATCGTGTCCGTCTTTGTAGTTGCATTTAACACCAGGACAGGTGAGGCATAAATCATCGCGACACTATAAATGAAACAGTTTTGATGCTTTGGAGGCCTAAACTAAAATAAAGGTTTTACAAATCTGCAGCCAGATCATAAGTTCAGACAAAGTCCAAGAAATGGGAATAAAATGGCTTCAGCAAAGTTGACTCATGCAATTTTAATTAGGGGTGTCTGAATGACCAACATGGAGGTCATCACCTGATGGAGACTCTTGGATGCAGGGCTGGAGATAAAGTCCCTGCAGGGTGGAGGAGGAGGCTTATTTTGATGTTAAGCCTAAAACAGCCAAGAGAAATGACAAAGTTCCTTAATGTAAAACAAAAAGGGCTTTAGCAACATTTAAATCAATCCAGGGCCTGTTTGTGACCAACACAACCCAGTGGGGTGAAAAATATTTACACCCCTTTTAGTATTTTTTTAAATTATTATTATTATTTTGTTTGCTGGAATTTAAAAACCTTTGTATTATTTAGCTCTTACTGTGATGTATTAAGATGTATTTTTGTGTAGAGGAATTGTATTTTTTTTTATGAGATGTTAATGTGGGTTTGTTTTAAAGTGTATTTCTGGCCCATTGTGAATGCACTTCAACTTGACAAACAAGAATGACGAGTTCAGAATGAACTTGCAGGAAACATAATACAAAAAACACACGACCTGTAGCGTGGCGTCCAAAACTCCAGGAATGATACGTAAGAGAGCATCATTCCATAAAATGAACACCAGACGTCCCTCACCTCTCTGGGGGATTTCAAACAATGAAGTTCAATGCAAAAACAAGTTCCATTTTAAAGTATTACACCTTGTTTTATTAATGTAACTTGATTTGGTTTTGTATCAATGATTTTATCTACTTTATGACTGTTTGTTGTGTGTACCTCATCTGTTAACAAGAGGTCTCTCTTGTAAATGAGTCCTCGTGACTCAATGAGACTTACCTGTTTGAATAAAGGTTGAATGAAATAAAATGCTGAAACTTTCGAGTGTAGACGTTTAAAAAATGTCACTGGATCAAATAAAAGCTAATTACCAGATGAGAGGTCAAGTCGACAGCTTAAGATCTTGTAGGCGTTGCAGGTTACAGGAGCGGAGAAAGAGAAGGCCTTTTTGCTGAATTCCGTCCACACTGAGGGGACACTGCAGGTAATGATGTCTCGTGAGAGCAGGCTGTAACTGCACTGAGGATGTGACATTTAGCAGATATATGAAGGCAGCAGACAAACAAGTGTTTTAAAGAAGAAAATGATGAAAGATTAAAATGTACAAGTGTGAGAGTCTATGTGAAATTAATGAAGTCATACAGGATGCAATGGTACGATAGTTACAGCCAGTAACACATGAAAAATGACACATACTACAGTATGACTTCCAAACAGGTGAAAAATGACACATACTATAGTATGACTTCCAAACTGATGAAAAATGACAAATACTATAGTATGACTTCAAAACTGGTGAAAAAAGACACATACTATATAGTATGACTTCCAAACTGATGAAAAATGACACATACTATAGTATGACTTCTAAACTGATGAAAAAAGACACATACTATAGTATGACTTCTAAACTGATGAAAAAAGACACATACTATAGTATGACTTCTAAACTGATGAAAAAAGACACATACTATAGTATGTGTCTTTTTTCATC